TGGGCACGCCTTGGAAGCTGTAGTCTTCTGACCATCCCGTCCCAATAATGTCCAAAAGAGTTCTTTTCAACACGTGGGTACGCCTTGGAACTGATAGTCCCCAATTTGCATAGCGCTCCTGACGTACCCCCGTAAGGCGTAGGCACGCCTTGAAAACTCCAATCTTCTGTTGATCACCACAAAAATACTTATAATACAAAAATAGAACTGCGAAATTGCAAAGTAACGAAAATTAACAACAACTAATACTGTAGTCTTTGGGTTGCCTCCCAAGCAGCACATTTCTTTAATGTTTTTAGCTAGACACAGTAATAGCTGTTTAGACCGCACAATTTGGATCAACAAGAGATATGACCTCCACTTGCTCACTATTAAACCCTTCATAATAGGGTTTCAAACGGTGACAATTTATCACGAACTTCTTATCCGTCTTCAAATGGTGGATTTTCATTGTACCATAATGAAAAATATTAGAAATGACAAATGGACCAATCCAACGTGAACACAACTTACCGGAGAAAAATTTAAGTTTCGAGTGATAAAGGAAGACTTTTTGCCCTACTATAAAGACTTTCTTGAGACTTGCTGGTCGTGAAAGAGTTAGCTCCTCTCTTTATAAATTGCTACGTTCTCATAGATTTCATTACTTAGTTCCTCAAACTCTTGTAATTGGAGTTTTCTATATCCCTCGGTATCCACAAGATCCATGTTGTATTCAAAATTGGAGACTTCATTGCCCAAAATGTCTTGTGTTCAAATTTCACTGGAAGGTGGCATGGCTCCCAAAAACTAATCTGTATAGGGACATTCCAATCGACATTTTATATGCGGTGCGGTAAGCCCATAGAGTATCTTCCAACTGCAAACTCCAATCTTTTCTATCAGGCCGCACCATCTTCTCCAGGATTGACTTAATCTTTATATTCGACATTTCGGCCTGACCATTCATCTGCGGATGATAGGGTATGGATACTTTGTAGAGTACGTCATACTTACAGAACAAAACAGTGATCGTTTTATTGCAAAAATGAGTGTCCCTGTCACTCACTACAGCTCTCGGCATTTCAAAGCGGACAAAAATGTTAGATTTTATGAATTCTGCAACCACTCTCGAATCATTAGTCCAGGTGACCTTTTTCTCCACCCATTTGAAAACATAATCGACAGCAAGTAAAATGTACAAGAAATCAAAAGACGAGGGAAAGGGACCCATGAAATCTATACCCCAAACATCGAAAATTTCAACAAACAATATGGAATCGTTTGATCTCTACGAGAAACATTCCTTACCCTTTGACACGTATCACAAGATTTACAAAATAAATATGCATCCTTAAAAAGAGTAGGCCAATAAAAATCACTCTCCAACACCTTATGAACTGTTCGCTTTGGCCCAAAGTGCCCTCCACATGCAAATGAATGACAAAAAGTTAAAATAGAATAGAACTCACATGTACTTACACACCTTCTTATCACTTGATCCGAGCATTACCTCCACAGCTAAAGGTCATCCCAAATATAGTGTTTGGCATCACTTCTCAATTTATCTCTTTTAGTCTTTGGCCAACCTGCGGGGAATTGATTCGTTACCAAAAAATTGACAACATCAACATACCAAGGTACCGACGAATCAATGACTAGTAACTGCTTCTCGGGAAACGATTCTCTCAATGGCAAATCCTCCTTATTCGTAAGCAAACGGCTTAAATGATCAGCCACCATGTTCTCAATCCCACTCTTGTCCTTAATCTCTAAGTCGAACTCTTATAGAAGCAAAATCCACTGTATGAGCCTAGGTTTTGCGTCCTTCTTCGCTAACAAATACCTCAAGGCAGCATGATCAGAGAAAATAATTACTTTTGCATCCAATAAATATGACCTAAATTTTTCTAGTACAAAAATAACGGCTAGTAATTCTTTCTCTATCGTGGAGTAGTTAAGTTGAGCTCCACTCAATGCTCTCGACGCATAGTAAATCGCGTGCGCCGCCTTACCAATTCTTTTCCCCAGCACTGCTCCTACGGCATAATCACTTGCATCGCACATTATTTCAAATGGCAGGCTCCAATCTGGGGGTTGAATGACGGCCGACGATGTCAATGACTCTTTCAATTTATCAAAAGCCACCTTACATTCATTGGTAAAATCCAATGTCACGTCTTTTTGCAGCAACTTGAACAAGGGTGCTTCGATCTTTGAGAAATCCTTGATAAACCTCCTATAGAACCGTGCATGGCCCAAAAAGGAATGTACTTCCCACACACATATGGGAAAAGGCAAAGCAGAAATAAGATCTACTTTTGCTTTATCTACCTCTATTCCCTTAACCAACACAACGTGCCCTAAGACAATACTATGTTCTACCATAAAGTGGCATTTTTTTTAGTTAAGAACTAAGTTCGTCTCTATGCACCTTTTCAAAATTAGAGCTAAATTATCGAGACATTCATCAAAACTATCCCCGTATACACTGAAATCATTCATGAACATCTCAATAATCTTTTTTACGTATTCGGAGAAGATACTTACCATGCACCTTTGGAAGGTTGCTAGAGCATTGCAGAAGCCGAAAGGCATCCTTCGGTAGGCAAACGTACCAAATGGCAGGTGAATGTGATTTTCTCCTGGTCCTCCGGTGCTATCGCGAACTGGAAGTACCCTGAAAAACTATCAAGAAAATAGTAATAAACACGACCAGCCAACCTCTCTATCATCTGATCAATAAAAGGGAGAGGGAAGTGGTCCTTTTTTGTTATGGCATTCAGTCGCCGGTAGTCGATGCACTAGCGCCATCCCGTGGCTTCCTAACCGGAACCATCCCACTTTCATGGTTCTCTTCTACAGTACTTCTGCCTTTTTCGGGACTACTTGAATTGGGCTTACCTACGGGCTGTTCGAGATAGCAAAGATAATCTCCATCTCTAGGAGTTTAACTATCTTCTTTTTTACTACCTCCATCATCAGTGGATTCAATCTCCGCTGCGCCTGTCTTATCGGTTTCGCATCATCTTCGAGTCGTATCCGGTGCATGCACAAGGACGAACTTATTCCTTTAATGTCTGCTATACTCCACTCAATCACCTCCTTATAATCCCTAAGGATTCGCACCAGTTTGTCCTCTTGACTTGGAGATAAATGTGCAGGAATGATCACCGGAAGCGTCTCTCGGTCTCTCAAAATGCGTACTTTAGATGTTTCGAGAGAGGCTTAAACTCTAATTCCGGTGCTTGCATAACTGAAAGCAACAATTTTGTCTGCATTTCTGGCACAAAAAGAGAGGTAAGCTCTTATCTTGGAGAAATGGTTGGAAGTGAATGTAATGCTTCAACTGCACGGTGCAACTCATCTTTCATGTCCACATTAAGAGTTACACCCAATTCAAGAGATTTGGTCAAGGCCACTTCTAATGCGTTTTCACCATCCAATTCGAAAGTTTCTTGTACAATGGGCTCAATAACACTCAAGGCAAAGACTGAGTTAGATTCTTTCGGATACTTCATCGCCTCAAAATATTGAAATTTATAATTTCGCCATCAAATTTTATTGATAAAGTACCCTCATTCACATCTATTTTAGTCCTAACAGTGCCAAGAAACGGTCTACCTAACAAGATAGGTGACGGATTTAACGATCTTTCATCTCCCATATCTAGGATATAAAAATCTGCTGAAAAAACTAACTCATTTACCTGAATCAAGACATCCTCAACTAACCCCTCTGGATAAGCATTGGTGATGTCAGGTAGTTGGATTATGATGGCTATTTCTTTTAGTGGCCCAAGATTTAGAGAAGCATAAATGATTTTTGGCATCACGTTGACTGAAGCCCAACATTGCTTTTCTAATCGATGTATTTCTTATTTTTCATGGGATCATGAACATACCTGGATCCCCACACTTAGGTTGGAGCTTTTTTTGGAGAATAGCTGATACATTTTCTTCCACCGCTACTCTTTCATCCCCTCTCAGTTTCTTCTTATGAGTATATAAATCCTTGAGAAATTTGGCGTACTTTGGCACTTGCTTAATTGCCTCCAACAATGGGATGTTGATCTCTACTTTTCGAAATATGTCTAGGATTTCTTTTTCCTTCTCTGCCTTCTTCGTCTTTTTCAACCTGCATGAAAAAGGAGATAAATTAGATTTAATGGGAATTGATGCAGTAAGAGTTATCTCAGGGTTTCCACGAATGTGTCATTCTTCAATCTCCTTTTCGATCTCTTTTTCACTTTTACTCTTTAGATTCGTAGCCTTAGGCTCTTCCACTTCCTTACCACTCCTCAGTGTCATGACACTCACAATTTTAGGACTTGTCTCGGGTTACGATGGCAATTTTTCAAAAACTTGAGACTCTTAGCGATTAATTGCAGTTGCCATGTGGCTTATTTGAGTCTTTCCTGCTGGAATTGAGCAGTACTCGTGGCCAGACTCTTGATAATATCCTCCAAAGAACTTCCCGCATTAGAGGGCGAAGGTTGAGGCTTTGGTTATCATGGTTGCTGAAATCCTGGTGGATGATTTGAGAATGAATTATGTGCCCTGTTCCCATAGTTGAAGTTGGGGTGGTCTCTCCAATCCGGATTGTACGTGTTCGAGTATGGATCGTACTGCCTACGAGGCGTGGGCATGCCTCCAGCCATGTTAACTTTTTCAGCCCCATCCTCTTACAAAATAGGGCATGAGTCAGTGGGGTGGTCCACGTTTGTGCAAATTCCACAGGCCTTTACTTGATGCACGCTCCCCACAGCTAATTGCTGAACAAAAGATGTTAGCTCCGAGAGCTGCTGCTGAATGGACGACATCTCTACCTCGTTAACCCTACAGGTAAGGTTACTCTTGCGGAAGCCAAACTGTTGAGAATTTTCTGTCATAACTTCAATAAGCAACCATGTTTCTCTCGGTGTCTTATTTGCCAGTGCTTTCCCACTCGCAACATCAATGATACTTCTGTCAGATGATTGAAGTCCCTCATAGAAGTATTTGATCAATAGTTGCTCATTAATTTGATGCTATGGGCATCTAGTGCACAACTTATTGAACCTTTCCCAATAATCATATAGAAATTCTCCGGGATACTGCTTAATGCTGCATATCTCTTTTCTCAGACTTGCAGCTCGGGATGCAGGGAAAAATTTTTCCAAGAATTTCTTTTTCAGCTGGACCCATGTTGTGATACTAATTGCAGATAGGTAGTATAACCAATACTTCGCTGCATCCTTGAGAGAGAAAGGGAATGCTCTAAGTTTGATCTGTTCTTCAGTAATCCCTGGAGGTTTCATACTAGAACATACCACATCGAACTCCTGGATGTGTTTATGGGGTTCCTCACCCGAGAGGCCATGGAATGTGGGTAAGAGGTGAATTAATCTGGACTTCAATTCGAAGGAGGTATTCTCAACTAGAGTTGGAAATGTAATGCACAACGGCTGCTGGGTCAATTCCGGAGCAGCCAACTCCCTTAGTAGTCTTGCATTCGCCATAGGGATGTTTTTTTGGCTTGGATCACTTGAATTTTCACCACTCGAATCTGTTGACTCGACCTCTGGATCCAGTCTCTGAGATGCAATGCTAGTTGTTCCTCTCTGAGCTGTCTAATCTCTTTCCTAGTTCAGCGTGCAGTCTTCTCTACTTCCGGATCGAAAATCAATTCACATGTACGAGAAGAACGAGACATAAATTAGAAAAATACCAGACAAATCCAACGAAAATAACTTAGAAAGAAACAAATTAACCAAAATACTGTTCCCCGGCAACGGCGCTAAAAATTGACAGGTGTCGAACCTGTGCAATAATAATAATAAAACCTAACTACCACCAAAAGCAGTCAATAATCAATTCTAAGTACTGGAGTAGGGACTCTAGGTGTGCAATGGGTTACTTGATTCACCCTGTTCCCGAAGAGTTTGTTTAATCCGATATACCAGAATTAATTATTTGACTAAATTCACTAACTAGTAGACAGTGGCAAGTAGGGTCGATTTCACAGGGAATGGGTAGGAAGTTGTTTCTTCCCAAATCAATAAAATGAAAGTGGGAGATATTTAATGGAATAAAAAATAAAAATAAAATAAACAAAACTCAAAAGCTAACTCACCAAGTACGATTTACTAAAAATAGCAATTAGTAAAGTTCTACCCAAAGGATCAACTTTTCAGGTACGGTCCAATTAAATGATCATCGATGCAAAGATATTTCATTCATTCGTCACTAAGTTGGTTATAGCTATCAACAAGCTCTAACAGCCAATTTTTTCTTACTTTCTTGATAGCCAAGGTACGACCGTTGACTGCTTCTCTAACAAGAAAATAACTCTAGGTACGACAGTAAGAGTTTAATTATCCAGTTGCATTAAAATTAGAAAAATCCAACTCTAACTAATAAACATGCTAAGAGGGTTTATTTAAACTAGATCTTATAATTTTTCAACATAAAGCCAATTATGATGGTTGTCACTAGTTGTTGACTAAACGAACAATTACGGATTTAATTTAGTTGACGTGACAGTAGGCTATTAGATTAAATCAAATATCCGGCTGTTGATACTCAATTAATAAAATACCCATAAATAGTTAATCCAGGAAACACACGAATAGTAACGGATTGGACGAAATAGTGAAAGTTCGATTAGATCTTACAGATGTGATGGACCGCGCCTTCGCATCTACCTTTGGTAGAGGAGAAACCTAACCGCTCCTCATCATATCAATCTCGCGTGGGTTGATTGTTATCATCCACTTAATTACCGCAGAATTGGGAAAGATGAAAATAATGAAGGAGACAAACGAAAAGTCTTGCTTCTCTTTGGGTTTCGTGTTCGTACTAGAGAAAAACTGAAGCAAAGGTCTAATGAAAATCGTACGAAACAAAGGCGGACAGAGCAAAATTGTCTACAGGGAAAACTAAAGGTAATCTATCGATCACACGTAAATCTGGCTTTTCTCCTATTCACCGCAGATTGCCGCCGTTGAAAAAATCAAAGTTCAAAAGCTTTTTTGTAGCCTTAAGACCCTTGGTCTCCTTTTCTCTTTTTGGACCATGTGAGTTTGGCTTTGTCAAAATCTCCCAAAGTAGCCATTGAAAAGAAAGAAAACGTTAGACCCTCTACTTTCTCTAGGAATAGAGTTTTTATCCCCTGCACCTCCGCGGCCCACGAGCCTAGTGATTTCCTAATTGCCCACTTTTTCTACCAATCTCGCGGGTCCATCTTTTAGGTGTATCTCCTCAGTTTTTGGCGTAGGCACGCCATGAAATAAAGAGTCTTCTGAAAATTTGCCTCGAGAGAGTACTTTTGAGAACAACCACCTACAATTTACACAAATATCAAATATGAGCAAAATCTCAACACTTAGCACAATAAGTAACCAAAATTATGACCAAATAACAGCGCAAATGGTGCCCAATAATTGCTCTATCATATTTATATGAGAATCTCCGAAGGATTCAACATACCTGAAGTATGTAAATCAAATTCTAAAGATATTTATTCTATTAAATTACAAAGGTCTTTATATGTGATAAAACAATTTTGATGTATGTGGTTTAACCGTCTCAGTGAATGTTTAACTAAAGAAGGTAATATCAATGATCTGATATGTTCGTGTGTTTTTATCATGAAAAATGGGTCAAATTTTGTGATTATTGCTGTATATGTTGATGATCTTAATCTAATTGAAACTCCTAAAGAGATCCAAATTACTGTTGAATATTTAAAAAAAAAGAATTTGAAAGGAAAGGCAAAATTTTGCCTTGATTTATAAATTGAGCATTTGAAAGGTGAAATTTGTATCCACCAAACTGCTTATATTCAGAAGATATTAAAGCGATTTTATATGGATAAAACACATACATTAAGTACTCCAACGATCGTCAGATCATTAGATCCTAATAAGGATCTTTTTAGATTGCGAGAGGAAAATGAAGAGATATTTGATCCTGAAGTACCATATCTCAGTGCAATTAATGAACTAATGTATCTTACTAATTATACAAGACCTGATATATCATTTGCAATGAATTTATTAGCAAGATTTAGTTTCTCGCTTACAAGACGACATTGGAATGGTATTAAACATATTTTTCGCTATCTCCAAGGAACAATTGATCTTGGTTTATTTTATTTAAATAAATCCAAACCTGAATTGCTTGGTTATGCTGATGTTGGATATTTATCTGACCCGTATAAAGCAAGATTTCAGACTGGTTACCTATTTACATGTGACGGTACAACTGTTTCTTAGCGATCTACAAAGCAATTATTAACCGCCATCTTATCAAATCATGTTGAAATAATAGCAATTCATGATGCCAGTCAAGAATGTGTTTCGTTAAGATTAATGACCCACTACATTCGGAAGAGTTGTGGGTTATCCTCCGAGAAAGAAAATCCTCCAACTATATTATATGAAAATAATGCAGCTTGTATAGTTCAATTGAAATAAAGATATATTAAAGAAGATAGGATGAAACATATTTCACCAAAATTTTTCTTTACTCATATTTGCAAAAGAATGGTGAAATTGATGTGCAGCAAATCCAGTCAGATAATAATTTGGCAGATTTATCTATCAAGGCATTACCGACTGCAACATTTGAGAAATTGGTGAAGAATATTGGAATACGTCGGCTAAAAGATCTCAAATAATATTTACATCAGGGAGAGAAATTAATATGCAAAAATAGTGTACTCTTTTTCCTTCATTAGGATTTTTGTCCCACTGGATTTTTCCCTAATAAGATTTTAACAAGACATATTCTTTGTGTAATGGATATGCAAAGGGAAGTGTTATAAAACAAAAAGATAGATGTCCATTTGTATTTTGAAAAAAATTAATTCATGGTTCATTAGATGAACCATTTCAGGAGTTATATTGGATGAACCGTTTCAGAGCTATTCATATACTTGAAGTATTAAATGTATGAATGAATAGAATTCATGTACCTTTGAGTTTGTACTACATATATATAGATAGAGGTACTCTAGCACTTTTTAGGATGACTTTTGATCAGTCGGAATAATAGAAAATAGTCCTTTATTCTCTCTACTTCTTTCTTTAATATTTCAATCCCTATTATAGTAATTTATTTTATTAGTTTTACAACAAAAATGATGTAAACTTCGATAGCTAATCGACAAGGATCCACGGACGAATCCAAGCTAGACAGCCATGGATCCGCCTTGTGAATCCATTACTCCATCTTCTGCATGGAATCTCACATGAGAATGCAACTGTGGATTCGAGGCCCGAATTGCATTCAAAAGTGAATACCACTTCCTTTTTCCCTTCGTCAACAAGAGAGCATCCACAATAATAATAATTGTCCTCCTAAAAATAAATAAGTAAGAACAATAAAACTATAGAAAATATCCTTTCTAAGAACTTTAAATTAAACATATATTGATGCAGACAAGGAATATGAGAATTCAAATATCCTCGTTTTGTATCAAGTTCTATCACTTACAAAGAACTCGTCCTTGAGTTCCACGAAAGAACTTGACACAAAAACCACATGAAGACATAGCAACAAATCTTCTATGAATCTTGTAGGGACGATGCTTGTGATGGAACCTGAGTACCCAATTATGAACATAGAAAACTTCTTGCAATCCTAGGACTTGTATGAAGAGTTCAAATGCTACAATTTCTCCATTTGCTTGTGTCAATACAAATTTTATGATTTTTCTTCGATTGATAAGGAATTCAACTTTCTTGGTCTTCACAGGAAAATAATCTTCAATTGGAGAAAATTTGTTACAAATAATTTCCTTACCAAAATAAAAATTCTTGCTATCCGGGACAACAATTGGCTTTATTGATTTAACTGAAAACTTACCAAAACTAGAACTGAACATTGTTTTATTATATGTATGTATGTATGCATGCATGCATGTAAGATTTCAACTGTTTTGAGCATGGTGCGAGACACGTTAGGAGAATTTATCATTTTTTGAGAGACAATAATATAATCTCATCAGTACTTTTTCGATGCAACAAATAAACAATCATTTACTTTATAAATCAACTAATTAAACATGTGTTCATCTGTCACTTTAGAGTTACCTTGCCGCATGAGGCATTGTGCATTCCAAAGATGGATATGATCACTAGAA